AGGATGATCTTGGCTTACTTAACCAAAACCTCACTTATGTGAAATTATTGTCATAATGAAAATTCCTCCTGCTTCCATTTTGGTATGTTTCTCTCATCAGTGGAGGGAACCAGGAAGGAAATAGTACCCACCACACAAATCCTCATTCAAGATTGTGGCAGAGTATCTTCTTTTCCTTGTCTTTTCTCCCTAGCTCAGCTCTCCCAGGTCATCTCACTTTTTCTTCCTTGTTCTTGCTGTCTTCTGCAGACATTGTGGTGATTTCCATCCTTCCAAAGCCATGTGGGAATCCAGTGCAAATTTGAATGTCTTACTGCTATACATGGATGTTTTACCACTATACAACAGAGTCACCCCTTGAGCCTCTAACTTCCTGACTACTGAAGTCACTTGTTGATTCAATCAAACACATTCTTTCACTGAAACAAATAAGGAAGAAAGGGGAGAGAAAAAAACCTCCCCATCCTTTCAAACTGTGCTTTCAGCCAAAGAAAATTTTTCAGTAGCAAGTGTGAAAAACACCTTAGTGGCAAAAGAGGATGGTATGATTCCCAAGTCATTTTAGTTGACGGGGCAGAATAAAAGGGAGAAAGAGAAGTGGGAAGGGGGAGTTGGAAGGGGAGGAGGAGAGTGCTTCAGATTGGGTGGATTAAAAGCAATTACTTTTCCTGATTCTAGAAGCTTGGGATATATTCCCAAATCAACAAGGGGGAGGGGGAGGCAGAAAGAGAGAATAGAATTTATCCCTAAATTGAGATGAAACCAAGCAACCAAAAAAGAAGAGGGTGTGGAATTTCCATGAGGTGACCCAGGCAGATTGCATCCTGCTTTTAAACAATTTAAATTGAACTAGCCCTCCCTACCAAGCCACACTGAGCCAGAGGCCACGGTCACAACCTAGGCAGTCCCACAGTTCAACTACTATCTGCACTTTCAATTTTCCACAGAACCTTACCCCCAATGAAAAGCCCTCAGGTAAGTGGCAGGAGCTGTAGGTCACCTGACCAGTGCATGCTTCATGGATTAAATGTCTGAAAGTGAGATGAACAAAATCAAAGCATGTCAAAAAGCATGTTGATTTAAAAACACACACACACGTTGCACAAAAGGGGAATCCTTCCTGTTGTGTGTGTATGTGTGCCTTTAAAGAAGATAATAAATATAAGAACTGCATGACTTTCTAGGCCCCCAGTCATAAAGAAAAGACAGCCATAACACCGAGGAGATCTCTCTAGCATGTGGAACACCAGTCAGATGAGAATGAGAATGAAAAGGGTGTTGGTGAACACAGCACAAAGCACATGGGCCATGAAATTAAAGGTTCCTCAATTCTGTTGAATTACATTTACCAAGTCTATTGGAGGTGAAAAAAACACTTTGTCTACACACAAAGATGTAGTCACATGATATCTCTGGAACTTACCTTGCCTATCTGAACTTTTAATCATCGTATTCCATTTCATTTCAAGCTCGCCTGCTAGAGGCATGCTGTCTTCCTCCTTAGCTAGTATCCATTAATAGTTCAGCTGATTCCTTAGGCTGGTCTGGCTGCATTGCTTTGGGCACCATGAGATGCTCCAGACTGACCTGTAAAAAAGACTTTTTTCCCTCCTTTCCTCATCCCCACCCCAAGCTCCTATGTCTATCCAAGTATCAGACGTGTAGAAGGTACCACTCTGATTCTAGGGCTCGTCCTTTATTAATGCTAAACAATGGGGAAGAAGTGGGGAAGAGAAGGTGTATTACAGCTGTCATAGGCCATATTGGGAAGTTCTCTTCTCTTGGTGCCTGCAGAGTGAAAATGACTCATAGCAAGGAGCTCCGGAACTCTGCAAGAATCATCTTGGTAACAGCTTGTCTGAGCACGGGGGTTCTCCTAGGCAGGGGGCTGCTGTCATTAGTGGGAGGTGGCTTTGATCCTTGGCGAACTCCTTAGGAACCTTATTCCTTTAGAGGGAAAACGACTAATGAACAAGCTTAATGACCTACTTCCTTTCCTTAAGCCCTATGACAGGCACCTTAGCAATGCCTGTGGGCAGAATGAGCAGCAACTGTTCCCCTCAGGATGCTCCATCAATCTGCGGGCAGCATTGGCCAATGGGCTGAGGTGGGTGGTGCTACTATTCCCAGCACACTTGGCCCCTTAGAACCACTATGTTGTTGTTATTGTTGTGGTTTAACAACATAGCTGAAACTTGCGGTGGGGTAGATGAAAGGGAGGAGGATGGGGAAGCAAAAGTAGCTAGATACGCCATGATAGGTTATTGAAAACAAACATAGGATCTCTTCCATTAGGTGCTACCTTATCTTCAGGGGATGGGCTAGCTGTAGGTCTTATTAAACAACTGGAGACTCAGAAATATTGAGGGAAGAACTCTAAAATTTAGAATTTCACATTCACTCATCAGAAGGAAGAGGGGGAAGATTTGCTAGCATACCCTTCAAACCTGAGCCTATAAAGCACTGAAACCGGACTTAGGAAGAGTTGAGTTCAGATCCCACCCCAGACACTAAATGAACCCTGGGCAAGTCACTTGAACGCTACCTGCCTTGGTTTCCTCAACTGTGAAATGGGGATAATAATTGCACCCACCTCTCAGGGTTGTATCATAAGGATCAAATGAGATAATATTTATAAAATACTTTGCAATCCTTAAAGTGCTATCTAAATGCTAGCTGTTATAGTTATCTGGAAGTGAACTTCTTTCAATCATTAGAACTGCTACTGCAATGTTTCTTACTCTATTATACCCATCTGTACCTATTTTTTATTATCTATGATTTTTTTTCATACCTGCCAGTTAAATCAGAGAACCCGATGGCAAGTAGGGCATTCCCAGAATATATATATTTGGGAATGTGATGGATATATAATTATAATCCTGGGCTGGTAGATGGAGTAAGAAGAGAGGATAAGCATAGGGAGGAGAAGGTATTTAGTTGCCTCTACAGTAAGCAGACTACAAGGCAACATGGAGCCACTGGTGATAGGTTTGCCCTTTTTCTCAGTACCTCTACAAAGTACTTAAACTATCCCAAATGGATAAGTAACAATCCTATCCTTAAACACCTCTAGGGATAGAGATTTCATAGCCTCCTTTATAAGAATTTATAAGACATTCTATCCAGTTCTATCCAGAAAAATCTTTCATATATCCAGAAATATGCTGATAAATGTTTAACATCCAGGTCTTGGGGGGGAGGGGACACATGACACATTTTTTTTTTAGGTAGTCAGGGTTAAGTGACTTGCCCAGAGTCACGCAGCTAGTGAGCGTCTGAGGCCAGATTTGAACTCAGGTACTACTAACTCTAAGGCCAGTGCTCTATACATCGTACCACCTAGCTGCCCCATGAAACACTTTTAAAGTTCAATCTGCATTGTTAACATGTTCTTCCATCACTTTCTTAAATCTAGAAAGTTAACAAAACAATAAATCAAGCTCTGATTTGTAGGGTTTGCTCATGTCCAAGGTAGAAATGCTCACACCGAAAATTTAACAATTAGTTCATGCACACCTCTGCTTATATCCTCCCTAAATTTCTCTTGCCATAGATTAAGCCTAGAGTAACCTGAAGATTCCAAAACCTGAAGCTAGGGCATCTCATACAGCAGGGACAAAAAAGAAAAAGAAGTGGGATTTACTTATCAAAATGGTGGAATAAGGGGGGAAACGAAACAAGGCAGCAGAGTTTCAGGAAGCATCAATACCAAATAGTAGGCAAACCACTGAACCAGATACAGAAAAGCTTGTGAGCATCTACACTGGTTTTTTCCCTCCATAGAAGAACAGTATAAATGATACACCATCCTAGAGCTGACAAGAATACAGCCAATGTTGTATATTTTTTAGTTACAGACCAATTGATCACTGAGCTTGTTGAATACTTCTCATGCATTCCCAATCAGAGCAATCTTCTTTTGAGTGTATCAGACTTGCCTGCAAGTATGGCTTGGGAGTTGTGCCCTCACACCCATTCAGAAAAGTTCAAGCCATGTGACACAGGAGTCTGAGTTGAATCAGTCTCATGTGCTCCTAGAAGCATTCACTTGGGAATCTGGGCCTGATTTTGTTGTTGTTTATTTTTTAAATTTAAAAAGGGTCTGGGATAAAGAGTTTGATCAAGTCTTGTGCAGAAGCCATAGTTGGGATGGGGAACATTTATGGTATATGAGGATATCCCTAACTTTATCACCAAATGGGTAACCAAGTAATTCACCAGAAATCAGTCTAAGTAAAAGACAGTCAATACTCCTCTATTACAACAGCCATGATTGCAGGCCATGTTCATTCTGTTTTAAAGCCTTTTTGTGGTATTGTTTGCACCTAGTGATTCTTCATCGTCTCTTCCCAACCAACTGGGAAAAAACAGTCTGTAGAGGGAGCTGCCACCACCATCTTGAAACCAAACTATAGATATGCCCAGCTCCATGGGAAGTGCTCTAATCTATCTACCTTTCACCTACTGCTTCATACCAAGGAGCTCACGTCTTACTGCTTTTTTTTTTTTTTCAGAACATGATATTTATCATTTCCCAGCAATCCCCATCCTTAGCACAGCCTTGTCACAGATTATCCAGCCCTCCCTTGTCTCAGTACTTCCCAACTCATCTAGTTACCTAGACTAAAATCAAGTTCTAGGGTAGTCCACAGGTATTAAAACTCTGACTTGATGATTAAAGAGCCTCCTTTCAGGGGTAAGTAAGGTCCTGTACAGCCCTAATTTTCTCCCCCTTCCACTACCAACTTCAGGGCATCATCCACAAGCTATCACTATCCCCGGGTTCACCCAGCTCCATCCATCCAGTGTCCCAATGGATCAGAAGCTTCCACATTAAGCCTTCCAAACTTGAGGAGTCCCATGTGAACGTGCCCCTCCCGTGGAAGACGGTGGGCAGCGTGGTTTGTTTCTGTTGCCTGCATAGAACTGACCCCTGCCTGTCTGTCTATCTGTCTGTCTGTGCATATGTGTGTGTTTGTCGCTTGTCCTTCTTGCAGGGAAAGTCACTGGTGGGCAAGCGTCTCACGGGCCTGATGCAGTCCTCCTGACAGTTCCGCCAGCTGAGACGGGAGCCGCTGACCACGTGGGCGGGCGGCGCCGCTCCACTTCGGCAGAGAGACTAACCTTAAGGGGCGATCTGGTTACTGTGAAAGAAAAAGAGTGAGGGGGAGAAGGGAGGGTGAGGAAAGGAGAAGCTGCCTAGGACTGGATGGGGTGGGAAATGGAGAGGAGAAAAAGAAACCAAGAGCAAAGCTGCAGAGATGCCACGTCATCGAGTTTACATCAACATTTTCTTACCTGTATAGCTTTGTTATGACACCCAGTTCTCTACGAGGTCGTTGTTTCTTCTCACCTGAATAAGGGAAGAATGCCTCACTGTGAACAGAGAGCTTTGCAGGGCCAAGGGTTTCCTGCTATGAATTACTACTTGCTATCATCATTATTGTTGTTATTGCTATTATTATTATTATCATTACTACTACTACTACTGTGCAGAACATCCTCCCTTATGGGAAAGGAGAGCAAGGAGAGCTGAACTGAGCACAATCAGTATTAAATACCATTCTCCCTTTTCTCTGGCACACCCACAGCTGTAATAGATACAGCCTGCTACTGTCACAACCATCCCTCTGCCTCCAACCATCCCTACTTTGCGGCTACCTAGGCACAAGAAAATGGTCAGCAGAAGCCACTTCCACTTAAGAAGTACGATTCATTTCTTCTGCACTCTGAAACCACTCTAGGGTTCCCTTCCCCCACCCTCTTAAGCCCTTTACTCCCTCTGAGACAGGCTTATAGAAAATGCTCTGATTGTCTTTCTCCGTAGTTGTTGTCTCCTGAATGGGGGAAATCAAAGCATCAATGATTCCTTCTCCAGAGAAAGCATCAGTGCATAAAGAAGAGCCATAGATTTGTTATTTAAGTCCTAAAAGAAGACTTCCGTCATTTTATCATTGACTTCTTACACTTGTTCCAAAGTATGTTCCCTCCCACTTTATTCAAAGTGAGGTCTGGAGGGAACTCTGGGCATACTGGAGTTGTCCGGGTTTCACCAACCCAAGAGAAAGATGAAAGCGGGGGAAGGTTCCCAGTCTTGGGGAGTCAACTTGATATTTGACTGGCCGACAATTCTCCCTTTCAAATTGGGTTGGGTGTGGTCAAATTTCTCGATGAGGAATCAGTCATGCCCAGAAACAGCACAAGTGGGAAAAGAATTGGCAGTACCCACATAGCACATCTCAATACTGTGTGGCACACATAAGAACTGGAGAATATGATACAAACAAAATAATGCCAATTATTTGGGGGGAAAACCAAACTAACGTGGACAAACCTGGTCTAGATTTCTTAGCAATTCCCATCCCCCATGGATGTCTGTCATAAGCTACCATTTACCAGAATGACACTGCTCCCTAGTGACCCCCTGGTTAAGACTATTGATAAATCTTATAGCCCAATAAGACTATGCTTTTCCAAGTCAGCTGTTCAATCATCTCTCTTTGATTTATTTTCAGCCACTTCCCTTTAGATATTATAAACAAAAAGCAATAGAAATAAAATAATTATCATTGGTGATTTCTTGATTCACATATGCAATCTTTTAGTGGTGACTAATGGATGCATTCAGACTTTACACACCACCACCACCACCACCACCACCACCCCTCAGCCCCAATTTGTTGCTTGTTTCATTTCCAAACCAAATTGCTGAATCAGTGTCCTGTAATGGATTTTATTTTATCCAGTAAGATCCCAGGGGTTCCAGCTTTCCATCTTCCATGGTTGAGCTGTCATGGGCATCAGCAGGCTTCCAGTTTCCAGTGTTTCTGTACCTCAGTTTCTCTTACCTGCAAAATGGAGAAATAAGCATATTTGCTCCCATTTGGTGGGCTTAGTTGGAAATCATGCAATAATTACAAACATTTTCAGAGCACCTTGGAAAGTAGATATAAAGAAATAAGCTTAGGTGGGAAGGGGATGAACTTGGGCCACACTACCTGAGACCGTGTTGCACATGTGGCAGCAACAGCAGCTTGCCAGAAGGGGCCACCAATTCAATGGCCCTACGGTATACCCTCTGTCAGAGAATGAGTAGAGCAAAACCTCAAAGTGATGGGGTCTGGGATACAGATGCAAAAATGGGTCCCTCGGAGTTTCTTTATAGGGATCAACTCCAAATAATTTAAACACTGCATGCCCCATCCTCTAGCCTAACTGTGGGAAAGGCCTTCTTATATTCTTCTGTGTGCATGAACTGCTCGAGGCACATACTCTCATTTGACTTTTGACACCCCTTCTCCCATCTTACTGCTTTTCACACCCTGCTTGCTCTCACATACAACTAACCCTTTTCTGAGTTCTGCCAGAGAGCCAGCTAGCATGTCCCCCAGGTTCCAAAGCATAGCACATTGCCTTCACTGCCTTCATAAGTCATCAAGAGCAAACAAAACTTGCTAGTGACAAAGGGAAGCCTTGAAAGGGGAAGTGCTAAGGGTACATCAGTGAAGTCCTCCACAATTGGTCCCTGAGCCCAGACACTATAGTTGACTTCCTCAAGCCCCGGGTGGCTTGCTTCCTATAAATTGTTTCCTGGCACTTTTCCATGTCTCTGAAGTGGACTTTCCAGGTCATGTTGTCATTATAATTAACTGCTCTCTATTGAAATCAAAGCTCCATTGGATGGATGGGATTCCCTAACCTGAGATCTTGGTCTTAGGCATTATTGCTGAACTTAGCCAGGGCCCTGGGAGACCTCCTGGAGTCTCAGTCAAGGACAGTTGACGCCCGATCTTTGTGAACTCAGCACATTTGAGAAAGCTCCTTAGACCTCCAAGGAGAGAAAGGCAGAGGAAAGGTCAACCAAGATTCTCAAAGTCTTGAGTTCCTCAAGTGAGCATATGATAGATTTCATACCCCTCCTAAGGCAGGAAAGATACCAAAACGTCTCCTTCCCCCACCAACCCCTACTAAAGATAGTTGGGCTACATAGCAAGGTTCCCAAAGGCACTCTGATGCAAAGCAGGGTATGGGTTGCCACTGCTGAATGTAGTGCAGAGTCAACATGGGAATGCTGATCCTTATATGAAGCTACATCCAGAGTGTCTAGCCTTGGGCCAGTTCCTCCACTAGCCTGACCTCTGTGTATTTCCAGATGCCCTGTAGGGTAGAACCAGACCAGAATCAAAACAAATTTCTTATTGCCCTTGTCTACCCCTTTCATCCCTACCTTCAGTGACAGCACTGAATATACTCAGTGGGCCCAGACTTTGAACCAGAGACTCTTCTCCATGCTGGGGTGCACTGACAAGTATTCCTGTAGAATGGAATACTGAGGCAGTATTAAGAGAAACAACCTTCACACAGTAGGCAAAGTCAATTCTCAGGATGTCGGTGCACTAAGTAGAATTTCTGAGAGAAAAGGATACCTATCCTTCCTTTCTCCAATGGAGAGAAAGTAGAAAAAGCATAGGTTACCAGTAGGCAAATTCCTAATTTCTTCTGGAATAATTCCATTAAAGGCAAAACAACATCAATACCAATACAATGCAACATTTATTAATCACCTCCTACCTACAGGGCACTGTACATGGGAGAATGTAGATACATTTAGATAAGATGCCATCCCTACCTTTAAGCACTTCACAGTGTAGTAAGATAAGTAGAACACACACAGAAGTAACTGCAATACACATTTCATGATCATCACATTAGAGAGGTAGAAAAAACATTCTTCGAGAGGTCTGAGGGAAAAGGTAATTTCCAACAAAAGGAATCAGAGGAGGCTCCTGGAGGAGAAGATATTTGAGTTGGGCTCTAAAGGATCAGTAGGAATTCACAAGGCATCAGGTAATATGCTCCTCTGAACTAGCAAGGTGAGGAGGGAATCTCCGGGCATCCAGAAAGCTGTGTTCCTCTGGTTCTGCTAAACAGATGCTGGTGAGAACCAGAAATAAAGTAGGACCAGGTGATCTAAATGGATTTCCCACAGCCACAGGCCAATAGAATCAGTATCATCCATTGGCTGGGAATTTGTTAGGAGTATCCTGAGCTCTCTCAGTCAAAATCAGAACCCTTCCAGTGAGACTCCAAATTGCTGCTTGTACTCCAGGGAACCCAAAAGATGCCCTGGCAATAAACCTCTTCCTAGTCAGTAAAGTTGCTATGTTCAAACTACCTCACCTTCTAGCTGATGCACTAGGAAACTGCCGCCCACTTACTTTCTTTGCTATTTTGCCTTCTTTCCTTTTTAATCTGTTTCTCTCCTGTCCCCCTTCACATGCACGGATTTCAAAAGCTACTTCTGAGATCCATGCGGGGAGGCTGGAAAGGAACTAGAGACTTAAAGCTCTCTCACTCTTCAGCTTCCTGTTCCCACTGAGTCATTACAGTGAATGACAATTAAGACGGTTTTCAAGATCTCTAGGCAAGAGTAATAATGTGCCCCTCAAAAGTGCAGTGACCTTAAAGTCAAACATTAATAAATACCATGGTCTGTAGTATGGACAAGTAGTAGACAAATGATGCAATACTTACCCGACCCATGATTCTGCCAAAGAGTTGCCAATGCTCACAACTTAGAAGTTAACACTACATTGGTATCAAGGCATTGTTGGACAGTACCAGATGGCAGTTCTAGGGTCATAATGTAGTAAATAGTAGACTCTGTAGCAATAAAGTCCCACAGGTTAGTACAGTGGAACAGTGCCAGGTTACTAGAGTCAGAAAGCCTTGGAGAAAGCTACAGGGAGAATTTTAATGGAAGTAGACAAATGGCGATCTAGTTAAATACACAAAGGGAGGCACCAGGGCTCAATAGCATAGGTCAGACTCAAGTGTTACAAACTCTACCTTTTTTTGCTGTGTGGTAAAAGGACATGTCTGAATGGTCTCTATTGTACCGCATGTGGTTCTCAGTAATTTATTATTATAGACGTTGGGGGCAATTGGACTCCAGAACCAAACTTGCTAGTATGGTCTGAAAATAAACAACTATAACCCACCGCCTACCCAGCTAATTCTGTATGACTGGATGGGTGGGGGAGCTGACTTTCTTGGGCAGTGATTTATCTCCACCAAAACACAATATTCCCCCGCACATCCAATTATCTATTTTCTTTCACCTGAAACAAACAGAAGGGGGGGAAAAAGCCATGTGCCCAGCAG